GGATTGACTAGTTTGATCTCCTTGCAGCCCAAGGGACTCTCTGGAGTCTTCTCCAACACCACAGTTCAAAAGCGTCAATTCTTTGGTGCTCAGTTGGACCTTCTTTAGGGTCCAACTCTCACATCCATACATGACTACTGGAAAAACCATAGCTTTGACTATACCATGGAATTGTTCATTACCACAGTTTTAAAAAGTATAAATTAAGGACAGAAATGAAAACCATGGTATTTGTTTTGCATTGTTGTTTTCTCATTTATTATAAAAGTGCTTCTTTTCTTTACTAAACAGCATTAAATAATAATACCTACTAACAGATCTACTAACTACTAAAATTTGTGATAGTGAGGAGAGGAGAGAGAGAGATGCAGGAAAGGATAGTGCACTAGTCATCAGGACTCCACGGTTTGTGGTCTTGTCTGTGCACCTCTGTAGAAGATGCCCTTGGAAGAGAGCACAGCTGCTCCAGTCTTCTTGCCTGGAGAGCCCCATGGACAGAGGAGCACGGTGACCTACAGTCCGTGGGGTTGCAAAGAGTTGGAAACGACCGAAGCAACTTAGCGCAAGCACAACACGTGTACCTCTGGGATGGTGATCCCGGCATCTCCAACTGAAATGGAATCGAATTAGATGAGTTGCTTAAAGTGGGAGCTGAGGTCCCTCTGCATCAGAATCCCCTGGCCGCAGCCCCCTTCCACTGAGTGTACATCCCAAGGTGGGTTCTAATAAGTTTTCCAGGTGACTGACTGGGTTGAGTTTGAGAAGTCCTGCATTAGATCATCTCTTAAGTAGTTTCCTTTGAACCTTTAAAAATGAGGCTAGCTACATTTAATCTCTTTAGCCAAGTGATAGAAACGCGTTTTATTTAAACAGAACTGTGTTCTTTACACTAGGATCCTTTAGTTCAGTTCAGTTCAGTCGCTCAATCGTGTCCAACTCTTTGTGACCCGATGGACTGCAGCATGCCAGGCTTCCCTGTTCATCACTAACTCCCAGAGTTTACTCAAACTCATGTTCGTTGAGTTGGTGATGCCATCCGACCATCATCCTTTGTCGTCCCCTTCTCCTGCCTTCAATCTTTCCCAGCATCAGGGTTTTTTCGAAGTAGTCAGTTCTTTGCATCAGGTGGCCAAAGTATTGGAGTTTCAGCTTCAGCATCAGTCCCTTCCAGTGAATATTCAGGACTGATTTCCTTTAGGATGGACTGGTTGGATCTTCTTGCAGTCCATGGGACCTTCAAGAGTTTTCTTCAATACCGCAGTTCAAAAGCATCAATTCTTCGATGCTCAGCTTTCTTTATAGTCCAATTCTCAAATCCATACATGACTACTGGAAAAACCATAGCCTTGACTAGACGGATCTTTGTTGGGAAAGTAATGTCTCTGCTTTTTAATATGCTGTTTAGATTGGTCATAACTTTTCTTGCAAGGAGCAAGCATCTTTTAATTTCATGGCTGCAGTCACCATCTGCAGTGATTTTGGACTGCATTGGCCCCCAAAAATAATATCTGTCACTGTTTCCATTGTTTCCCGATCTATTGCCAAGCAGTGATGGGACTGAATGCCATGATCTTTGTTTTCTGATTGTTGAATTTTAAGCTTTTTCACTCTCCTCTTTCACTTTCATCAAGAGGCTCNACCTCTTAATATCTTCTGCTTCTGTTAGGTCCATACCATTTCTGTCCTTTTTTGTGCCCATTTTTGCACGAAGTATTCCTTTGGTATCTAATTTTCTTGAAGAGATCTCTAGAGTTTCCCATTCTATTTTTTCCCTCTGTTTCTTTGCATTGATCATTGAAGAAGGCTTTTTTATCTCTCCTTGCTATTCTTTGGAATTCTGCATTCAAATGGATATATCTTTCCTTTTCTCCTTTGCCTTTCGCTTCTCTTCTTTTCTCAGCTATTTGTAAGGCCTCCTCAGACAACCATTTTGCCTTTTTGCATTTCTTTTTATTGGGGATGGTCTTGATCACTGCCTCCTGTACAGTGTCACGAACCTCCATCCATAGTTTTTCAGGCACTCTGTCTATCAGATCTAATCTCTTAAATTCCTACAGTTAAAGCAATATTATTTCTGCATTCCAGACTACATTGCTAAGTCACTTCAGTCATGTGTGACTCTGTGTGACCCCATAGACAGCAGCCCACTAGACTCCCCCGTCCCTGGGATTCTCTAGGCAAGAACACTGGAGTGGGTTGCCATTTCCTTCTTCAGTGCATGAAAGTGAAAAGTGAAAGTGAAGTCCTCAGTCGTAGCCGACTCAGCGACCCCATGGACTTCAGCCTACCAGTCCCCTCCGTCCATGGGGTTTTCCAGGCAAGAGTTCTGGAGTGGGGTGCCATTGCCTTCCCCACCAAACTACATTAGGTGTGGACAAATACTGTTTAATTTCACTTATACGAGGTACCTAGAATAGTCAAATTCATAGAGTCAGAAAGGACGCTGGTAGATGCCAGGGGCCAGATGAGAGTGGGTGGGGAGTTAGTGTTTAATGGGGACAGAGTTTCAGTTTAGGAAGGCGAAAAATCTGGGAGATGGGCGTGGTGAGAGCCATACAGCAGTGTGAATGTTGTGTACAGTTAAATTTGTTAAAATAGTATGCTTTATATTATGTGACTTTTACCACAATGAAGAAACATGGCAGAAAAAACAAAAAAACCAAAGTATTTTCTAGGTAGCATCTGGTAGACAGTGATCCTCTGATATCCCAGCAGACAGCACAGATTCAGAACGTGATTTTGCTGCAACAGAGAATTTAATTTCCTGCATCAACAGTTTCCCCCTCTCTGTAGGGTTATCTTCATCAGCATATAAGTTCGATACTTTGTCCTGTCTTAAAACATCTCCCCTTTCCAATAAAACTCCTGGGAGTGAGAGTAATCTAAGCCCAGCCTCCTCTCACTGTTTGGAACTCGCCTCACGGCCCCACCCCAGCGACTTCTTCCAGGCTCACTTTCCAGTTTCTAGATTCTGTGTCCAGAAGCCCTGGACATGATTGTCCAGTCTCCATTGCCTTCTGGGATGCCACCCTCTCTGGGGTTCTCACGACCTCTGGGCCACTTTTTGCCTGAGGCATCACTTCTGACTCTGGGGTTATAAATACCTTTCAGAATCTGGTAATCTCTCTAGAGCCACATTCCAGAAGAAAATGTATATATGTTTATATTGACAAAATTTATCGTCTCATCCCCTTTAATTATGGTGATTTCTAGGGAAGTTTGAGTTCTCTAAGAGTTAAAAGGGTATAAGCCAAAATAGTGTTTATTGTATAATTTTTGGCGATTCGTGTATTTCATCATTTATTCTCTACTGTGATCAAATGATACTACCAATTTCAGCTGTTTTATGAGCATACTTGGATTTCCCTGACAGGTTTTGCTGTGATCCTGTGCTGATGGTGAAATGTAATGTGTCTAAAGATCTGTTTTGAGTCTCTTGAAAAGCCTGACAACAGTCCTTACATATGGCAATATGATTAATATTTTTATTAAATTCTCCTAGAGATTACTGCTAAAAATTCCTATAAAACAATTTTATAATTTAAAATTATGTGAATTATGGTAACTATAAATTTATATAAAATATATAAATGGTGGTAAATATAAATTATGATAAAATATCCTATACTTCTGTAGAATATAGAATATTCTTGCTCTAATTTTATCGCCATATTTGAACTTTCATTTAGTTCAGGTTATAATTTCAAAGATTTTGTATGTAATCCTGTTATCCACAAATGTTTTTTTTTGTCCTTATTCAATCTTTGTCTAGCCATAGATAAGATTCTTCTGTAGTTGTGTCATTTACAATTTGTATCAGTTTTTAGAAATCTCAGCATTACTCTGTAAGTAGTTTTCTAAAGTATTACAGCTAGAATATTTTAATGACCTCATCTATCTGGTTTACTTAATAGTTCCTGTCCAGCTGGACATTTTTATAGTTTCCAGAATTCCTCAGTTATAAAAAATGCTAATATATAGAATCTTTGTAAATGCAGTTTTGTTTATATTTTTAAATTATTGCCTGCTGACAGATTCCCAGGAGTATGATTATACAATCAAACACTAACTCAATCTTGCAGTCGCTGAATATTAGGACTTTATTTTTTGCCAGTTTTGTTGAAAATAGTTTCACTGTTTGAATTTACTTTTTGAAATTTTAAATTTTTGGCTGTGCTGGCTGTTTGCTGCTCTGTGAGCTTCTTCTCTAGTTGTGGCGGCCAGGCGCGGGCACTCTCTAGTTATAGTGCCTGGGCTTCCCGTTGCTGTGGCTTCCTTGATGTGGAGCGTGGGCTCTGGGCGCGCAGGCTTTACTGGTTGTGGCGTGGGGCTCGGTGGCTGTGGCCTGTGGGCTCTAGAGCACAGGCTCCGTAGCCGTGGAGCGTGGGCTCTGTTGCCCTGCAGCAGGTGGGGTCTTCCCAGACCAGGGATCGAATCCGTGTCTCCTGCATTGGCAGGCGGATTCTTTCCTCTGAGCCACCAGGGAAGCCCCAAATTTGCATTTCATAATTAGCAAGATGAAACTTTCCCCCATGGTTTTAATATTCTTTCCTGTTTCATGAATTATCTGTTCTATATTTCTTATCTGTTTATCTATTGGGATTTTACATGCTTGCATCAGCTGTCAACCCTTTATGATCAATTGTATGTTATACTTTTTTTTTTTAATATTCCCTTTTATGCTGTTTTTACTTTTTTAGCATACGGAAAATTTTGAAAACCTTCAGAACATTGCTTTATGGCCATTCTTGGTGGATGATACTTGCTTTTTCCTTCTTTTTAAAAATTGTTATTGTAAAGTAATTAGCCTCCAACTAATAAAAATAAATGAAAAATTAAAAAAAATTGTTTACTTGCTTTTATTTGCTAATATATTGGTAAATGCAGGCATTTTACATTTGTGGCAGACTGACAATTTATAAAGGATTTTTGTGCGTATGATCTTATTTAAATGTCCCCATGGATGATATTTTTTCTGTTCTGTTTATCTCCATTTCCAGGCACCCAACAGGCGGATCCTTTATTCGTCCAAACAAAGTAAATTTTGGAGTAGACTTTCTCACGGCAATTAAGAACCGCTATGTGCTAGAAGATGAACCAAAGGAAGAGGAAACAGAGCAGATTGTTATAATTGGAAATAAACCTGTAGAAACCGTTGGTTTTGACTCTGTTATAAAACAGCAAAGGTAAGTGAAACTGATAATGGTAGAGCTGACTTTGACAGTTTCATCCAAGTTCAGGATTTAAGTTCACTTGACCGTGTGTCAGTGCTGAGAACTTTGCTCCCAAGCTAGTCTCTTTTCTGCAGATCACCAAATTGCAATCAGAGGGATCCAAGGATTGAATATTTACGGAAATTAAAGTTCTTATTTTAGCACAGGACTTTTCTAGATTGAAAGAAAAGCATTGATTTGCCCGTTATTATTTATACCATACTCCAGGGTAGTGACTAATTATTAAGGAGCTAAGGTTGGACATTTGATGAGTCAGGAATGGAAACAGAAGTCTGCTTTGTTACCTGTGCCATGTAGCACGATGCACCTTCTAAAATCCAGTAGTTCCCGTCTCTGCACACCCTCATCACCTGGGCTGCTTTTGAAACATGCCGAATTCTGGGTCCCATCTGAGACCTACTGGATCAGAATACCATGGGCTCTTGCTTTTAAAATGTACCCTGAAGTGACTGTGTCTAAGGGGCACTAAATGCATTTTGAAACTGCTGTGTTTGAACTTTCTCTGTATTTTCAAAGTCTTTTGAACACAGTGATGCTCTGCAGAGAGTCTCATTGCTTATTCTGATGCACCATGTGAACCAGAGTGGAAACTGATACTCACACAAAGCCATGCACAGCTGTGTGGTTTTTGCGTGACTTCCCAGGTTGCACTTCTTTAGTGATGGTCAGTGTGTGGTCTGCGACCCTGACCTGGATGAGGCATCCTAGTAGTGACCCCTGGTGGCCACTCTGGAGAGTAGTTCAGTTCAGTCGCCCAGTCGTGTCTGACTCTTTCAACCCCGTGAATCGCAGCACCCCAGGCCTCCCTATCCATCACCAACTCCCGGAATTTACTCAAACTCATGTCCATCGAGTCGGTGATGCCATCCAGCCGTCTCATCTTCTGTCGCCCCCTTCTCCTCCTGACCCCAATCCCTCCCAGCATCAGGGTCTTTTCCAATGAGTCAACTCTTCTCATGAGGTGGCCAAAGTATTGGAGTTTCAGCTTCATCATCAGTCCTTCCAGTGAACACCCAGGACTGATCTCCTTTAGGATGGACTGGTTGGATCTCCTTGCAGTCCAAGGGACTCTCAAGAGTCTTCTCCAACACCACAGTTCAAAAGCATCAATTCTTCTGCACTCAGCTTTCTTTATGGTCCAACTCTCACATCCATACATGACCACTGGAAAAACCATAGCCGTGACTAGGCAGACCTTTGTTGACAAAATAATGTCTCTGCTTTTTAATATGCTGGAGAGTAGATTTGCTGCTATTGACACCTTCAGTCTCTGAAAGAGTTAAACTGCGATTCTGTTCACAATTAAATTCTTTGCTATCTTTTTATTGTTCTTGTTATTATTATGATGATTTAACATGATACAGAATTTAGCTCCACATGGGCACAAGGTTGAAGAATAAATACATTTCCTTTTTTAAAATTAAAAAAAAATTTTGTTTTAAATTTTGGCTACACCATGTGGCTTGCAGAATCTCAGTTCCCTGAGCAGGGATTGAACCTAGGCCATGACTGTGAGAGCCTGGAGTCCTTACCACTAAACCATGAAGGAACTCCTAGTAAATTCATTTCTCGATACCTCTGCTTTTTAGCGTTTAAAAAGAACACACACACACAAAAGAAATCAAGATTTTTGAAAAAGCAGTAACTTGACTGTTAATTCGAAACAATATACATTCATTGTTGAGGATTTAGAAAATAAACATTGAAGGAGAGAGTCATGACTGATGAGCCACTGAGAGAAACTAATGTGGATGATTTTTGCTGTTGATTTATAGAACTGTGGGGCTTCCCTGGTGGCTCAGATGGTAAGGAATCTGCCTGCAGTGCAGGAGACCCGAGTTTGATCCTTGGGTCATGAAGATCCCCTGGAGAAGGGAATGGCTACTCATTAGCATTCTAGTCTGGAGAATCCCATGGACAGAGGCCTGGCGGGCTGCCATCCATGGAGTCCTCAAGAGTTGGACACACCTGAGTGACTAACACTTACAGAACTGTATCCTTCATAGGGTTAAAGTTCTTTGCTTAATTTTTTCCATTTAAAATACAAATATTAATTTTTTTTATTTTACACCAGAGGAGGTACTTTTTCCTCCTGTTGGTTGATCTCTTTCAGAGAACATCATGGGCACTGTGAGTGTTAACAGATTGCCAACAGATTTTTCTCTCCTGGTTTATGAACAGCTACATAACTCAGTTTTTTAGTGAATGACTACTGCTTTCGTATCAACGGGTTCACTAATTAGCTAGTGTCTTTCTGGAAAGGACCCAGTGTTGAAATCAGTCAGGCTGGCTTCAGATGTCAGCTCAGCCACTTTCTTTCTAGTCCTAACACCAGTTAGAGCTTCTTTGGTTTCTAAGCTTCAGTTTCCTCATTTCCAAAGTAATACCTAAGCTGTTAGAACTCTTGGGAATAACAAGTGGTAGGCATTACTGTTGGAGTGATGCTTGCTTTCTTTCTTTTTTTTTAATTTGACCATGCTGTGCCGTGCATGGAATCTTATGTGGGATCAACCCTTGTGCCCTGCATTGGGAGTGTGGAGTCTTAACCCACGGACTCAACCTCAACTTTAAGCTGTTGTATTATCTCCTTAATAATTCCAGCTGACCAGCTTTGAGTTTGCAGCATTGAGAAAAGACTTATAATGAGGGAAGCAAAACCAAGTGAAAACCACTGTGTATGGTTTCTCTTTGGAGATGACTGTGGCTCTGACTGAGGTCTGAATTGAGACCTGGGTCCCTAAGCTTCCAGGCACCACATGGAACTCACTGGGGTCCAGCAGGATAGTTTTCATTTTAGAGGGAAACGGTGACATCTGCCGGACATGGCGTGAACTGCTAGTTGCAGGTAGTTTCATATTCACTCTTCTTTCCATGGTGTTACATACCTGTAAAGCTGGGTTTTTGGTCACTCTTGTGCTGAAAGTAAAGCAAGTATTGTATCTCCTGAAAATCATCATGGAACAGGAAAAGGAAGGGTGGGGTCCTTTCAGACTCCAGGGTTTAAGAAATTGTATAGTGCCTAGGTGGCACTAGTTTGACAGGACATAAATAATTATAAAGTTGTTTGGCCCTAATTGCTTACTAAATGGTACTTTCTTTTGGCCTCGGGGCACTTTGGAAAATTACTGAAGTGCTAAGGGCCCCATGAACTGAGGAAGTTTGGCAGCCTGTGCCCTAGGACTTTGCTGCTGCCTTTCCCTCAAGTTTCTGTGACTGTAAAAGCTCATGCCTTGCAGGTTGGTCTTAGTATTCCCCCAGAGGTTGTCAGTTTTGTGTTTACTTTTATAAATGCTTGTAAAATGACTTACTGTATATCACAGTGTATTCTGAGAGTTTCACAAATACCGACCCTCTAAATTATAGCATATAAAAGTTGTAAAATATACATAATGTAAAATTTACCATCTTAACCGTTTTTTTCTTTAATTTGGCTGCATCGAGTCTTAGTTGCAGCATGTTGGATCTTTTTGTTGCTGTATACAGACTCAGTTGTGGTACATAAGCTTAGTTGCTCTGAGGCATGTGGGATCTTAGTTCCTGGACCGGGGATTGAGCCTGCATCCTCTGAATTGCGTGGCAGGTTCTTAACCACTGGACCAACAGGGAAATCCCATCTTAACTTTAAGTGTAAGAGTTTGGTAGGGTTAGGTACATTCCCACTGCTGTGTAACCAACAGTGCTGTCCATCTTTAGAACCTTCTCTTCTTCCCAGACTGAAACCTTGCAGCCCCTTAAACAGTGCAGCTCCGCGTCTCTCCCTCCCCCAGCCCGTGGCAGCCACCATTCTGCTTCTGTGTCTGTGAAGCTGACTCTCACCCAGGTACCTCATATAAATGCAGACATATGGTATTTGTCCTTTTGTGACTGGCCTCTTTCACATAGCATGATGTTTTCCAGGTTCACAAGTATTGTTCCTTCCTTTTTAAGACTGAATAATACTCCACTGTATGGATTGACCGCACTTTATTCCTTGGTCAGTGGGCACTCAGTTTGCTTACATGTGACCATTGTGAATAATGCCATCATGATCACAGGCGTGTGGATGTGGCATCTGAGGTGTAGAGATGTTAACACATCCAAGGCCAGAGGAGGGGTGGAATCAGGACTGAACGCAGGCAGTCTGGCTCCAGATCCTGTGTTCTAAACACCCTCCGGTGCTGTAACACGTGGGCTGTTTGAATGAATAGAACACAGATTCTCTACACTTAAAAAAGTGTCTTCTGAGAGTATCTAAAAAGGCTAAAGATATACACACATGCTCTCTAGGCTATATCCCTAGAGAGATTTTGCCACATGAGTGCAAAAAGTATACAGTAGTGTGTCCTTTAGCACTGTTGGGAATAATCTGTCTGTCACCAGAGGGGCAAATAACTCAACTGTGGTCTCTCTCTGTGGTGACAGACTACAGGTGTGAACATGTGTATTCTAGAGCATGTGTCCATGGAGTCCCATCTCAGTGCTGAGCAAGGTGTTGTTGGGGGAGAAAGTTGGTCACAGGAGGAGAAAGTTAAACACTGTACGCTGCCGTTTGTGCCAAATTTTATAATATTCAAAACTGCAGTAACTGTTTAGGGACATGGAAATATCGTAAAACTGTTAGAAGAATAAAATAGTAAACTATAGAAAAATAGTAAAAGTGTTAAGAAATGCTTACGGTTAAGTCGCCACTGACCCCAGTGCCCTGGCTGCCTATGAGAGGAGAGAGCAATGGAAAGGGGCTCGAGAGGGTCTCGGTATTGGGTATAATGTCTGCAAGGCTTTCTTTTTTTCAGTAAGGCTTTATGTTTTAAGTTGGGTGGTGGTTACTGTTATTTTTGGTGCCTTTTTCTGTGTCTAAAATGCTTTTTAATTTTTTAAAGGGCCGATGGATAGCGTACATGTTTATGTCTGCATGTGAACTATGTGTTTTTCACACAGTCAGCTGAGCAAGTTGCAAGACGTTTCTTTGAGGAACTGCGCAGTAAATGGTGCTGGTGACAAAGGAGGCATTGCCAAAGCGTGTCCTAGTATCCTTTCCAACGCGGACTCGTCACTGGGGTCGGGCTGGATTGGACACTTGCGCCAGACACCCTGGTTCCCTACGCACTGTCCGTTCTCCTAACGGGGACCCGGTTTCACCTGAGGTTGTCACCACTCGGGTAAATTATTACCTTCCTAGGCCATTTGCTTTCAAGTGGGACGTCCGGGGAGAGGTAAAATGGGAGTTTCTGGACGGCGCTTCTTCATGGGGGACAGACGTGGCTGGACCAACCTCTCTCCATTGCCCGCCACCCTGCCCGCCCCCTCTGAGCACAGACAGAGGGCACAGGGCTCGGCAGCCAGGCTGTGGGATGGATGCCGCCCAGGGTAGCTGGGAGGGAAGGCTTGGGGAGGGACTGGTGCCTTGGGTGGTACCCGGGGCCCCTGCACCAGCCCCGACGGCCATCCTGAGAGGGAGGGAAGTAAATTCTTTCCTTTATTAAGGTTCCTGCTCATGCAGCAATGCGGTTTGAAATCATACCTCAAAAACAAGCTTTTCCAAATTTGTCATCTCTTAGAAGTGTGCTCTTTGTTTTTTGCCCTGTGTTTCTCTTATGCCCACACCTGAAAATAGAGGAGGTCAGTCTAAAAGAAAAATCATAATAAACTTCCTCCATTTTGTAGTCTGGTAGAGCACAATTCAGGTGCTTCTTGGATCTGCTACAGTCCTAACAAACCCCAAGTAAATGCCTTAAAAACAAAAAGTGGCAAGTCAAATAGACTTTCTCTAACTTTAAAGGGTCTTCTCCCAATTCCTTAAGTCTGCTTCATCTCTGCATACTAGTTTATGCAAAAGACAGCAGCTCATAGGTTTCTCGACTGAGGAGATGGCTGATAAAGAGCTTTCTTTTAGCAAAATATTTCTAAACACTCTGACGCTACCTACCTTGTGATAGGAATTGAAGCATAGCTCCCCAAGCCAGTGTTTCAGAGGTGCAGCTCCTTGGCCCTAGGGGTCTGCTGGGACTTGCAACCACTGGTCCTTTCTGCCCGTGAGTAGCGCCCCCCCACTCCACCTTTGCCCCAGATGTGGTCGTTTTCCCTGCAGGTAGGCAACAGAGTCAGGGCATTGAGGTGGGTGTGGAATGGAGCTAGGTAAGGAGCAAAGTGCCACAGAAGTGCTTGGCACATTCCATAATCTGCCTGGCCTCCTCCTAAATGGTTTCGGAAGACTGCGAATTGGGTGGTTCGAGGCTCATTTTCAGCACACAGAAGAGCTCTGGTCAGCAGAGGGGTTTGCGTGTGCAGATCAGCTGATTGGAGTTGTCGGCAGTGTGCTGGGCAGTCAGCATCTTGCTTGTTTATACCGCTTTCTCCTGGGCAGGAATGTCCCCCAAGACACGAGGCAATGAGGTTTGCTGAGATAATCAAGTCACAGACCCACTGTGTCTGTATTTGCAGACCCAGTGATGAATGCCTTCACTTGCTGATTGAATTCTTGCCCGAAGTTGAAGGATTGCCTGGTGTGTTTAATCCAGTCATCATTTCTAGACTGATCCTTCTCTCAGGTCCTTCGCTGTGCTGGGACTGACGGTGGTGGGAGCACGTCAGGTTGGAGAGCTTGGCTGGGAAGAGGTGTCTCTGAACTTGGGGAGGACCCTCTGCCCACAGGAGCGAGCGTGACAGAGCTCCCAGGACTGTGTGTGTGCTCGCACGCACATGTTTAGGTGTCGGGCCACCACATCAGGTTGAAGTCAGAATACAGGAGGTCCTTGTGCCCTGTACAGGCTAGTAGAAATACGTGTAGCTCTAGCTTCACAGTGGGAAGCACAGGCAAGTGGAGAATGACTGGACGTGACCCTTTCCAACCAGCCTGATGGCCCGGAGTTAGCAGGACTGCTGAGAATGGAGGGCAGCGGGGGTTTGACCCCCAGGCACAGAGTGCCCAGCCCAGCCCCTGCAGGCGGGCCCGCGTCCGGGGTGGCGCAGTGGTGGGGACAGGGGCAGGAGGGGCAGTGAGGGGCTGCAATGCAGGGACAGGAGGAAGGGCCCGTGTCGGGGTGAGACCCTCAGAGCGAGCAGTGGCCGGTGGCGGGGCAGGAGCCGGGGGGCTGGGGGTGCTCTGTGTCCAGGCGGCGTCCAGCTGGCCCACACGGTAGCCCTTTCCCCTTCCGCGCGGATGGATGGGCACCTTCCGTGGCACTGCTCTCCCAGTGGGAGAGGCCCAGCTTTTCCCTGCTGCTTCCTCCACTCTGCTGGCAGCAAGCCCTGGCGCATGCACGAGCACCGCTCCGTGTCTCATTGCCAGGGCGTAAGAATCCTGCCCCGGTGTTCTGAGGGTTATTCCCAAGCCCTCCTGCACTCTGTTCTTTCACATCTCCTTAGGTCAGGAGCTGCCAACTGTCCCCTAAAGAGCCAGGGTATAAATACCTTAGGCCTGTGGCCAACCAGCAAACTGGGATATTGTGTGGATGCCTCCATGACCACCTCAGAGGTGGCCATTTAAAACCATGAACACCGTCCGTAGCTCTCTGGCCTCAGTACGCCCACAGCAGCTGGAGCAGAACACAGGCTGTGATTTGCCAGCCCCACTGGGTTCATCCCCCTCTGGGCCTTCCCTCCACCTGCCTCCCCCTCTCCCCGCCTCCTCATGGAGCTTCCTCATTGGCAGGTCTTGCCCTGCCGACGGACGCCACTGTCTGTATTGAGAGAGACGGTCTCCGTGCTTCATGGGCAGTGGTGCTGTGTTGCATCGGGGGCTGTAAGGAAATGGCTTGGGGCTGAGGCTGAGGCTGATTGGCATCTAAACTCACACCCGTGGCCCGCGCCGGGCAGCACGGTCACTGACTGCGCGGGTTTTTCCTCAGTGAAAAAGCACAGTGCTCGCTGCACCTTGTGGCCCACCTGGGCCGTGGGCGGCTGTTGATTCTGGTTCTTTCCCTCTGTCGCTGCCCCCCTCAGTCTCTCTGGCAGACCGAGGTGCCAGAGGTCAGCATGCCGCAGGCTCAGACCTCTGACCCTTGGCCCCTCCTGATGAAACGAGTCCCGCCTGTAGATGCCAGGCTCCTGCGCTCCGCCTCGGTCCCCGTCCTGCCTGCCTGCCGTGTGCTGCCTCTGTTGGGGTGTCTGCGGTCATCTCACACTGAGTGTGTCCCCTCAAACCTGCTCCTCTCTAGTCTTTCTCCATAAAGGGCAGTTGCAGTGACACCAGCCAAAACCCTCAGGGTTAATTTAACCCGTCCTTTTCTCTCAAATCTCGTCTGAACCCATTGACGAGGCCGTCCGCTCCTTCCCTCTGCTGCCTCTCTGGCCCGGGAACCTCCCGCCTCCCCTTTCTGCTCTGTCTTCGTTTCCTTGCAGTGTGTGCCTCAGCGGGGCAGCAGAACGGCCCGGGTCAGCCCACGTCAGCAGCTCCCCTTGCGGGCAGAGACTAGCAGAGACTTAGCGCTTCTGATCTGACCTGGCCTCTGGGGCCTGCCGTCCCGTGCCTCCACCCTCTCTGCCCGGCAGACACGAGCTTGCTGTCCCCCGCCACGGGCCAAACCCATTCCAACTTCAGGGCGTTTGCTCCTGTCGTCCCCTCTGCCCCGATGCTCTCCTCCAGGCGGGCAGTCCCTCATTCCCTTCGGCTCTGCTCACAGGTCACCTTCTCGGGAAGGTGGCCTTCGCGAGCACTGTGTATAAATCCCCCCACACCCCCTCTGCTGCAGGCCCAGCTCTGTTACTCTGAGGCATGTCTGTGACTGGCACACCAGACATGCACGTGCTTTCTGATGGGCGTGTTCACTGCTAGACACTTGGTGTCCAGTCGTTCTTTGCAGGATAGAGGAACAGTCTCCATACATACTGGGGTCATGTGCACAGTCCTCCTTGAGCTGGTCCGGTCCTTCAGGCTTTCCTCTGCCTCTTGATGGCATGCACTTCTGCCATCCCCTGTGGCATCTGGAGCCTTTCTCTGTGCTGGGTTACCCACTCTGGATTCTTGTACCAGGGATGGTGGGTATCACACCGACTCCATCCAGTCTACAGGAGACCCTCAGAATTCCAGGTCATTCTTAGCCCTTTTGAACATGTCTCCAAAGTAACTGCTATTGACCCCCTGGAGGCACCTCTCCTTATTTGGGGGCTCCTGGGGTGCAGAGTTCAGCAGTACCCCCTGGGAGGAGACTTGTGTGCTTGAAGTAAGGCTCCAGGGGCTCCACAGTACCAAAGGCAATATATGTGGGTGCACCTTGGGTGCTGGACACATCAGTTACCATCACTGTTGGGTTTTTTCCTGGTCTTTTCCTTTTTCGTTTTTTTTGATGGAGTAACGCTGGAATGGTTTAGTGTTAATGACATTTGGTTCCCACTCACTTGATTGTGTCTGCCTCAAGTGTGCAGTATGTGACAGCGATCCTTTTAGTTTCTAGATGAACACCTGGATGATTCAAAGGGGGTAAAAGTAATATGTGCTCATAAAAAAAATTTCAAGCAGACTAGAAAGAATAAAGTGAAATGGTAAAAATCCCATGTTCCAGAACCGAGGTAACAACTGTCCTGTCTTTTATGCATCTTTCCATATTACTGTTTCTTAACATGTACATTTAGATATTAGAAGCATCGATTTGTCAAAAAACCTGTTGTCATCATGGGAAGAAGTTATAGATATTGCCAATCAGCTCAAGCACCTGGAAGTCCTGAATCTCAGGTATGAACTGGTGGTTGCCTAACTGCACATGATATAAAGTCCTCATCTCTCCTGCTCCCTCACAGCATCTCTGTGGGAGTGAGGTGGGGAGGATAGCCGAGTTGTATTTATCTAAGTTTAACGTATTCTTTAATATTCTTTGATTCTAGCTTTCTAAATGGTCACATGAGGTGATTCATTAATAGGGAATGTGTTTTACTTCTGATTAGACGGAACATTAGGTTACCATGGCAAACTGGAAGGTCTTCATGGTTTTTTACAGCCTGACCATAGAAGATGGGCCATCTGGGTGCCTTGGTGTTAAACTGGGGAGAAAGCGATGTGATTAAAAGCGCTTGTTCATTCTGAACCCTCTTTAGGAATGAGTTATTTCAGTGGGGGTACTGTATAATTCACTTCTGATAAGGGCTTTTCTCCGAGCAAACATTGGTAAAATAATGTTTGCCAAGTCTTCTTGAGTATAATTAGTTTTAAGCTCAGGAGCTAACTTTCCAAGGGCTCAGCCAGGCTCCCCCTTTCACGTCTGAGCCAGCCCCACACATATAGGTGAGTTGTTCCTGACTCAGGCAGGTTCAGCAGAGCAGATAGACAGGCCTAATTAATTATTCTTCCAAACAGAGCAGAGAGTATATTTTGACCCATGGTATCACCTCCTCTAGAAATAAGGGTTAATGTGCTTTATTTAGTGGTATTTTCCTTCAAAATGACAAGATACGGGGTACCTTCTGAAAAAGATGTCAGTAACTTTTGAGATTAGGATCTTGAGAGGGAACTTAAAAGGCGGCAATTTATTTCATCCATACTGACAGCAGGCTCTGTTCAGAAGCAAAATCCTAGCCCACAACCCAGCACATCTGTAAGACTCTTGAGAGAAAGACTGAATTTTACAGCATCCAGAACAGCAGCCGACCTCACAGATTGATGCCTGAGCCTCGTGTTTCAGATAATCTGCAGCCTCACCCAGCAGCCTAACCCGATGGACGCACCTCTTCATGTCAGATACCAGTGAACTGTGTATTGTAACTATTAAAAATTAGGTAGTCTTGATGCATTTTGTTTTTAATATAATTGCATTTTAAGGTTGAAACAAACCAGACCCCAGTTAACTCCCAAACTGTTGCCTTCAGTGACCTTCTCAGTTGGGCCTCCTCTGTCACAATGAGCTCATCGTGTCTTTTTTTCTACACAGTGAAAATAAACTTACATTTCCCTCGGGCTCACCGTCTCCAACCGGAACATTTTCTATGCTGAAGGTTTTAGTCCTTAACCGGACAGGAATAACATGGGCAGAGGTAATTATATATCTCTGGTTTTGTTGTTCAGTTGCTCAGCTGTGTCTGACTCTTTGCTTTTTACCCAGTTATAAGAGTTTAAAATTCTTGGTTAAATGAGGGAGTGAAGCCCAGTGGTGGCTTCATTTTAATCATCCTGTTATCCAGATAATAAGGTTCTTTTAAACAGCCTAAGAGAAAGGGGTTACAAAGTCCTCGTAGTTAGAATTTTCTATCTCTGAATCTGCTTCCCTTTCTTGGCTCTTCTGATCAGTTCTGGTGTCTCCTGAGCAGGCTGCACCAAGTGCATGCCAAGCTTGGAAAAGCCTTTCAGCTGCCCGAATTTCCCCATGCGTGCTCTTAGGGCCGAGGCTGAGCCGCAGAAAGGTGCTCATGCCCTTTTCTTACTCGGGGTTCAGCTCCTGGGAGCCACTGCTCAGGGACACAGCTGGGTTTGACAGCGGACTTGTGAGTCCTGGGCCGGGCAGCCTCTGGAGTCTAGATCTGGTACTGCTCAGCTCAATCAGAGGTTGGCTGACTCCGCACACCCACAACACTTCAATTTCCAACCAAGTGTGGATAAGTGCACCCCAGCCAAGGTGTACATCTGTGAAGTCCCACCAGGGGACCTCTGGAGAGACAAGTGGCCTTGCCCTTGGGCCGTCCGTGTCTCCACCACCTGACTTCTTCCTCAAGAGCTTCTCCATGCAGAACAGGAAGGAAGGGCACATGGAAGTGGCAGCCAGCATCCAGTGAGAAAATGTAAAAATAGTTACAGAGAAAGTTTGTCCTATTAGCACATTCTCTGTAAACCCAGATTGGCATCGAGAAGTGAGGAAAGGTGTTCAACATGTTTCCTTCTTTGGTTAAGTGAGCTGCGTCCAATAATGAGAATGTGCTGTCACCATCTCCGGTTCGGCTTTGTACAGGTCAGGATGTGCCTGGATGATGGGTGGGTGCCTACCCTGATGGGTTCCGGGCGCCCCGTGTGTGCTCCCATGTTACTGAAGCTCGGTCCCTTAACACCATAGCTTTATCAGCTGTCCACCAGCACTCCTGGCCCGAGACAGAATCTGTAACAAAATGTCCGAAGGCATTTCTTTCTAAAACAGGAGCCAAACTGAATTCACGTGGAAGCTCTAGTAATAAACACAGCGGGGAATGACTGAGGCCTCTTCACCCTGATTCGAGTTTCCCCTCCAGGTGCTCTGCTGTGCCTCTGGCTGGCCTGTCCTTGAGAAACTGTACCTTGAGTCTAACAATATCGTCATTTCGGAAAGGTAACCAGGGTTTTTACATCAATGCATCTGTCACCATGTAGTCATTTTTTTTTTTTAGTTCAAAACATTTGTATTTATTGAAATACTAGTTTTCCCAAACATCAAGGGTAAAGAGATGTAATCACGTTCTCTGAGAAGTAGCTATATATCACTTAGTCATTCTGAATAAATAAATGCTAATTATACCTAACTAATTTTTAGAAGAATTTTCAAATAAGAAAAACACTTATACTATTCATTGCTCCCCGAAATTAGAAAGTCAACTCAAACTTCACCAAGAGGTTCTAACTGGGGAAACCCCATCAGAGTAAAAGTTTTAAGTTAAATACTTTTAAGCTTTGAATTGTGTTACTTTTACATAAACATATGTAATTTCTAAGTGGAAGTTCTGCAGGATGACCTGTAAGGATTAAATAATGGATTTTAAATTAGCATTATCTGTTCAAGTTCAGTGTACCAATGTACAACTCTACACACCCCCAGTTTTGCGTCCACAGATCCAACCGACCACAGATCGAGAATACTCAGGAAAAAAAAAAAATTCCAGAAAGTTCCTTAAAAGCCAAACTTGAATTTGCCATGAATTGGAACTGTTTTCATTATATTAGGTGTTTTAAGTACTCTACAGGTGATTTACAATATAGGGACGATATATGTCGGTTATATGCAGACTGTGTCATCTTATATAAGGGACTTAGCATCTTCAGGTTGTGGTGTCCCTGGGGGTCCTGAAACTAATTCCCCAGGGATACCTAGGGATGACCCTGTATGTAAAAAAAGCTTGTTCTCTTACATCAGTTAAATAGGTTGTTGCGTAATCCTCCTCTTTTGTTGATATCATTAGTGTGTAAAATAAACATGGACAAGTTTATAGCAAATTCTCCAAGGAGTCGAATGAAATTACTGTTCAGAATGATTCTATTTATTTATTATATAGGCAAATACAGTTTCATAAAAAAACTTTTAATTTTGGATTCATATACATTTATAAGAAATAGCAGCCAGAGATCACCTGTACCCATTCCCCAGTTTCTCCCACTGGTAACATCTTGCAGAGCTCTGGTCAGTATCACAGCTAGGACACTGACCCGGTCAAGATAAGAACATTCCCATGACCACCAGGATCCTTTATGGTGCCTTTTATAGTCGTATCATACACTTGCCTCCCACCCCACCCCCACACCCCTGATCTCTCCTTAACACCAGGGGCAGGTATTTTAAGGCTGTATCTTTGAAAACAAATCTGTGTGAAAAAATTTTTATCTTTCATACAGGCCAACTGATGTTCTACAGACAGTGAAGTTGTTAGACCTTTCCTCTAATCAATTAATTGATGAAAACCAGCTATTTCTCATAGCGTATCTGCCCAGGTAACCTGTTCCTAAAATGCCTATTACAATAGAATTTAGTAGATTTTTAGTGAATGAATCCTATGCTGTATATACTTTCTCAGTGGAAATATGATAGTGATGATGGAAATCCCAAATTCAGTTAATTCCCTTTGGGAAAGTTTTATTTGAATTCAAGAATTGACTTGTGAACCACGTACAATGTAGTCTATGCCTGTACTGTAATAGATACTCGAAGGATGAATATTTTGGCCCTGATACTAGTATCAAAAGTTTTCATGCAGTATGCTTGGGGAAGTCCATGTCCCTTTCCTCTCTGAGACCCAGTTAGCCCCCAGCACAGCCGGAGGCCCCAGGCGTTGTTCTGATGCCTCAGAATCCATCCGAATGTAGCACAGCAAGTCTGTCTGTGTGTCCTCCATTGGACTTTATGGTTCCTAAGCAGTTCACACAGGATGAAAACCTAGGGTGTAGGAAGAAATGTGCGGATCTAGTTGGCTCGGATAGCACAGCAGTTTATATTGTTTAGCATTTTATGTTGTTCTGTGTAATCAAATTGAATGCTTTTACATTTCAGATTAGAACAACTAATCCTCTCTGACATTGGAATTTCTTCTATACATTTTCCGGACGCTGGAATTGGTACCTAAGATTATTCAGTCACCCCTCCCCCGGCTTCCCCACATTTCCGCTTTCTCTCCCTTCTGCAATGTAATTTACTTCTGTTTCTTCTAGGGTGCAAAACCTCCATGTTTCCTTCCTTGCAGTACCTTGTACTAAATGACAATCAGATAGCACAGGTAAGAGTGTCTTCAGAACATGTGCACTACATTATTACTTATTTCTACTCTCAGAATGCTGTTTGCAGGCTCCTGCTCTTAAGGAGTATTTTAAGTTGAAAGAGAAACACTTCCTCAGAGTAAAGCTCCTCATATAAACCCAAAAACATTAAGAATTAGCTTCTCACTTAAGCAGCTCATACGTCAGTTTCCATGGCACAGTTGTAAAGTACGTGGTCTTCCTGGTGGGTGCTCACTGTGTGATGAAATTCCTTGGCTCCAATGGAACTGAGGGCTTGCTTTTCTGCTACTGGTTTTCAAATAATCTGTTGAGAAGTTAGCCTGAAACATGTTTATCTTCACGTGTTTTGGATTTCAGTGGTCCTTTATGAATGAGCTGGATAAGCTGCAGAGTCTGCACGCGCTGTCGTGCACGAGAAACCCCTTGACTGAAGGCAGCAAAGATGCCCAGACCACACGGCAGTTCATCATTGCCAGGATCGGCCAGCTGAGGACCCTGAACAAGTGTGCGGTGAGTGCCAGTGTCCTGGGGAGGTGTTTCTTAAACTGGAAACAACATGGTCCAGTGTAAAGAGACGCTGGAGCTGCGGATGGTAAAGGCAGTCAGATATCGTTTCCTTCAAATGGTACTACCCGTGTGCACTTGAGTCGTGGCAGTTCTTTCCGGCCTGGCAGGTGGGGTTACACTTGGATGCCTGCAGGGGAAACCACTGTTCAGCTGCCCCAGTCCAATTTATTGTCACTTGAGCAGCGCTGGGGGGCGGAACACTAGGTACTCTCTCAGGAAGTCAGCTGCTCCAGCCCAGCCACCTCATGCCGTGGCCTTGGGCCTCAGGCAGGCACCGTCCAGAAACTGGTTCACGGGCAGATACACTCATGAAGAAGAGGATAACACTGAAATCCATTGTTCTTTTTGAATACACTCGTGAATCTGTGAATGTTAAAAAGGTAGAAATTTGTCTCGTTGCCTCAGTTTGATTATTCTCTCCGGGTAGGCAGTGGAGAAGGACAGGGTGCCAGGCACAGAGAAAACTGCTTTGATAGATTTGCTTTTTTCTCACATCCCTGTAGATTGAACCAGAGGAGAGGCGTGGGGCTGAGCTCGATTACCGAAAAGCATTTGGAAATGAATGGAAAAAGGCCGGTGGACATCAGGATCCAGAGAAGAACAGGCCAAACGAGGAATTTCTCGAAGCCCATCCTAGATACCAGGCACTCTGCCTCAGTACGTACTGTGTGCCCGGGCCCGGCCTGGGGCTGGGAAGTCCCCCGTGGGACAGGGCTTCCCGGGGGTGCTAGAGGAGGTCCTCCGTGTTGTTGCTATTCTCCGTTGGGCATCTAAATGGACAAGGGGGCTCCTGCAGCTCGCGGGGAACAGGTAATTAACTAAAGAGTTGTCTTCAGAGACTTACATCTGCAGCACCTCAGCAGGGTGGGGGGAGAGCAGCTCTTCACCAGAAGCTCGTCTCTTCACTTCCTCATCCAGCTTTCAGTTTCAGGAGGTGGGCACCACTTCCTCCTTTTAGGAAGGGCAGGAAGGACTCCAGGTCATCCCAACCCTGGCTGTACCCTGGGGAGTGTTTTTAATGAAGAGCATTTGATGTGGAGCCTAGGCACTGGCATTCTCTGAAGCTCTGCGGGTAGCTTCAACGTTGCTGAGAGTTGCACGTGGTGTTCCTGAGCGCATGCCCGCCCTGGCCCCTGGTGTGCGCGGCGCTTCCTGACCTGCTCCAGCCTGGCTCCCTGGACACTGGCGCTGAATCCAGCGCTCCTTGTCCCTGATGTACTTTCCATTTTGTTTTGACTTCATTTTTATTCCAAATTTCACTTTTATGCAATTTTCTCTTTTATATCTTTCCTAATATGAGCTCACTGCATAAACGCTTCAGGCTGAAACATCTTTGAGGAAGAGAAGCTGCCTGTGGGAATTGCTTTCAAATTACTCCATTAGCTGGCCCGATTTCCTGGCCACTTGAGGTGAATTCTAAATCAGTCGGGGGCAGGGAGGTGAAGGATCTAAAGCTACCCTGCAGGTATGGCTCAGGTCTCCCCACTAATAACACAGAAGACACGGCAGAGGCCCACAGGGTGTTTATAGACCTTTTGTCTCCTGCCGTGGTCTGGCCAGAGGTGGACGGCAGTCCCTCCTCCTCCTCCTTCTGCCTTGCGTAGAGGCTGCTCTTCTTGGCAGGGTACCTGGCTTCCAGTGGTGGTTCTGAGCACCCAAGCCAGCACTGTGCATGCTGGCTGAAACCTGGTGACAGTGTCCATGACTGGAGTTTTTCTCAGGACCCAGAAGGAAAGGAACTGTGACCAAAGGTGAAATTTTGCATCTAAGTATCTGCAGGCATAGCCTCATGTCACCAGTCTATCGGGATGGTGTCTCCCAGGATCAGTGATGTGACTCACAGATGACAGGACGGTTCCAGGCTTGGAAGTGGTTGCCGTCTGTCCTTCCCTCCAAAAAATACACTAACCAAGTAACCAGAGAAACGGAAGCAGAGCCCAGGTTCGCATCCCAGCCACAGCTGGGTTCATCCTGAGCAAAGAAAAGGCTAGGCTGACACTTACCTGTACATTTCTTCCCACCCTCCCAGAGTGGCCTTTTGGTTTATCATCCTTCTTTTTCTTTTTTTATTTCTTCTTAAACAGAATATGGTGCACCTGAAGACGGGGAACTGAAAACACAACAACCATTTTTGCTCAAAAACCAGCTACTAAGTAAGAACCCCACATTCAAAGACCACTTATTTATATTCGAGTCCTTAGATGCTAAAACTGATGGTGATGAGTGAAAGTCGCTCAGTTACGTCTCTTTGTGACCCCATGGATTATACGGTCCAAGGAATTCTCCAGGCCAGAATACTGGAGTGGGGAGCCGTTCCCTTCTCCAGGGGATCTTCCCAACCCAGGGATGGAACCCAGGTCTCCTGCATTGCCGGTGGATTCTTTGCCAGCTGAGTCACCAGGGAAGCCCTGATGATGACCTAATAAGGATTGTCTGTTTCTCCTGAGTAAATACCTAGACATGCACTTTACTTTCTAAAGAAATGATCTCAAACGTACCTAAATTCTAATGTTGAACATGTTAGCAATCCCCACGCTTTAAACTTTTTTAACAGTGTTATAAATGCGGGAAGTATCTGAATAGTGATTTGGAAATTCATGAACTTAAAAACCTAGGTAACTGTCAAGAAAGAAGTACTTAAGAGAAAAGGGAAAGCAGCAGAATGCTGGTCCAGCTGTTTTTGTTGCGGTAATTCAGTGAAGTAGTAACAGAAGGAATTTTAACTGTCAGTAGGTCCTGCTCCTTCAGTGGGATCAGAGCCGCATTCTCGGTCACTGCTGTTAATATGTGTGTGACATTTAGGAGCCCTTCCTCCAGCAGCTCAATTAATGGCAGTTAATCTTTCTACTTTCAAGCACTGAAGATAAAATATCCCAATCAACTTGATCAGAAAGTCACAGAGAAACAACTGCCGGGTAAGGATGAATGTCTCTCTCCCCTCTTTCTGCTTTTGAACTGCTGGCCCTCCCATGAGGCAGCTGAAGTAGAACAGCCCATTCAGAGTGTGGGCTTTCACAGACAGTGGGCTTTTTACAGCAAAGTGTGGGCTTTCACTGGTCTTCTCCATTCTAAAATACTATTGATCATGCTAAAACTACTCCTCCTGCGCCTGCCTCCCCCCCGAAAGTTCGAGTCTCCCGTAACTTCTTGGCTTTTCTAGAAAACAGTTTTGTTAGCATCAGGAGCCCATGCGTGGTTACTTCTTTACCCGGAGGCAGGCGCCTAGGGCTCGCCCTTCAGGGCTGCCACAGGCCTTCTGCTGGCTCGTTCTCACAAGCCTGCTCTGGGGGCTTTTCTGGGCCAGAGCACCAGTGGCATTGGCCTGAGTGCTTGCTTCTGCTTACCAGTCATTAGCTCCTGCAGAGACAGCTCGTGGACACTGTTTAATGGACACATTTGAAATAGTTTTCCGTCAATAGATCAGTGTAACTTACTGTTCACTCAAGAGAGAAATAGAGTCTGAATCTTAAGATTAAACTTGATTCACAGTTAAATACTAAAATATAAACAGCTCAAATTTAGCACAGTGAGGATCTGAAGAAATAAAATATCGTAAATGACTCTAGTGAAATACCTTTCTATTTGCCCGTCAGTGCAGTGAATTCACATTGATTTTTTAATTCATTTTTATCAAATAAAACAAGGTTATCCTGGTATTGCTTATGGAGGGCTTTTGTTGTGCCCAGAGAAGCACCTTTACAACTGAAAGCCATCGTCTGACAGCCGCTCACAGTATCACCCCCCTGTTCCTTACCACCAGCCCAGTTTCCACTCCTGCCACATGTGACTTTGCTACTGTTACATAACGCTGAATTAAAGTTAGTGGTTCCCCTTCTTTTTTCTGTTTTCAAACTTAAATACTGCCAGTAAGGACTCTAATGGGAACAGACAAGTGGAAGAGGACCATCAATTAATATAATTGATTTTGGGCATGTTTGCATTTTTCCTTCTCCTTTTACATGAACTCAACTTGCAGGAATGCTCTTATTAGGTCTGTGTTCATCTAATTGGGGCCGTCCTTTCCCCTGGAACACTCACCATGTTCATAGGCTGAGCTTTATTCACCTTCAAGTAGAATTAACAGATTAGACTAATATGGAGAAAATATATGTAATAATTATGCTATAAGCAATTTAAATCTGAGTTGTATATTCTCTAAACTCAGCAGTCGGAGTTATTAACCCATCACTAACCACCCTCTGTACAAGGAAAGCCAGTCCACCTAAACCCTTTGAAAGGACAAGATTATCACATATTCACAAATCAAAGCACAAACTGTTAACCGACATTATAAATGTTCACTTAGTGTCTGTATTCAATACATAAACAAGAAAAGGCAAGTTTTTATTCTAAAATAAAGATAACATTTATTATCACAAGTTGCATAAAGACGCAGCTTTTACAAAAATGTTCGATAGAAAAATATTTGTCTGAATACATGTGATATCTGTAGGAACACCACACTATTGCTGTACCTCCAGCTAAAGCTTCAGAAAAACTATTTCTCATAATCAAAATACCCAATATTTACCACAACCCATCTTTGGAAAGAAGTTCATGCTGCTTTCTGAACAAAAGCACTTCCTCATTCAGCTACCCCTGGCCCAGCGGTCCCCCGCGTGTGTGTGCCGCACACGTCACACACCACAGCGGTCACAGACTGGGGGCCCTGGAGAGTGGGGCCTGTGGGTCGTCAGTCTGCACAGCTCACCTCACAGAGGAGGAAACTCCGGCAGAGAGACTGGCACAAGTCCTCACTAGCCCAAACCTGACGCCAGCGTCCTTTACGCAAGCCATCACGGGTGTAAAAAGTGAATGATTTCACTCACATTTATTTCTGTGCTGAGAATGATTTCTGGTTTATTCAGAGCAAGGAGGAAATATTAAACACCACGGACATGATATGAAAAGTCATCGTCAAAGGGCACTTAGGTCTGACATCAGCTCCGTTCTCCCACAGCACCCCCAAGCAAGCCCTAAGTGGCGTGACACCCTGATCTGGCGGCCCGCGTCGGGGGCTGAGCCGTCGCCCGGGCGTCCCTTGGGTAGACTGCGTGCGGAACGACGGTGACGGCTCTCATGACCAGTGTGGTCTTGGCACGTGAGCTCGGCTTACAGCTAGCCGTCACCTGAGAGAACTGATGTTCTTTCTTTTCCTTGACAGAATCCATGACAGTTCAAAAGGTGAAAGGCTTGCTGTCACGTCTCCTCAAAGTTCCTGTGTCAGAACTTCTGTTGTCCTACGAAAGTCCCAAAGTAAGTTGCCCAGAAAAAAACGCAAAGTCAAGCTGAGTTCCCCACAGTATGACGCACTGTTAAGCTAAGTCTTCACGTAACGTGGTTTGATTCTGAATAGAAACCATATATCTTTGTTGGGGTGTGTGTGGGTATATATGTTTTGTCACATCTGTCTTAATCACCCCCACCTCTTTGCTCTAATTTTAGATGCCGGGCAAAGAAATTGAACTAGAAAATGACCTACAGTCATTACAGTTCTATTCTGTGGAAAATGGAGACTGTCTATTAGTGCGATGGTAACAGCCAACTAATAAAATTCAGAGGTTTGATAATGTATCATGACTGGGTTTCACTGAAGATAAATGACTTATTGGGACAATTCTTTCCCCCCCCAAAAAAAGAAGTTTACAACTTGCCCTAAGTATAGAATAGCTGTATTTTTCATAGAGAAGAAAACATTTCTAGGCATGTATATAACAGCAATAATAAAGGCTTTGCACCTACTAATGAGTTTCAGATTTTATTTCATAGTTCATGACTATATTTCATTATGAGAAGATGTAGGTACTAAATAGAACCTCACTACTCTAAAAATCTGAAGTGAGTTAATCATATATTCATAAGATCAGTATTAATGGAATCCTCTATCCATACTATTGGTTTAAAAGATTGCCAAAATGATTTGGCTGATTTGGGAAAGTCTCCTTTAAAGTGAAAAACACATATCCTCAATGTAATATGTATGCTATGATCTCTCTTCTTAGTTGCACTGTTTTAGGGTACTCACAAAAATTATGTGCTTTTCCCTACAGTTATACCCTAATGAGCATACATTCTTTCTCAGGAAGATTTCCAGCTCTGACTGAAATTCACTTATATTAGGTAAACATTTTACAATGGAAGAAAGCAACATTATTTCAGTTTCATCTATTTAGAAATATCCTTTCCTATGGCATTAAAACCCTGAGAAGTATGATTTTACTTATATTCATAAAACTTTAGCATTAAAAAAAGGAGTATTAATATAGCTTGATTTTCAGGATTTATGTTAAATGGCAAAAGAATACTTGAAATTTAGTCTACTTAATAAATGAATGTAAAACCAAGGTACAGAACTGAGAATTACAGTGATTCCTTTTCAGGTTGCCCACTTCATTCAGAGATTTACAAAATCTGACCTGATCTCCAGAAACCCCCACTTTGGTGTAAGTGACCACAGGTCACACAGCATGAGTTCTTTTTGGCCTGTAATTATCCTACTTAGCTATCCAGAGCTAGTCTGCATTCCAGGCTGAAATTCAGACTAGCATACTCAAGATTTCTGAACGAGGCCGAGTTTTAACCAAAATGATAGGTAATGAATTACAAACTAGAAATGATGCAATAGGACTCAAGGAATATTTTTTGTTTTTACAAACAATTTGGTATTTTTCAAGTCATCTTCCAATATATAAATAAGTTTTTCGTGCACTACAGCTATCTGTTGTTTTTTAAAAAGGAAATTTTGCGCAAATGTTAAATACCACATTGGTGAGAAGTCAAAGTGTCAGCTGAGAATTACCCTGAAAGACCATATAATCTGTGGCCAAACCTCAGACTTCTGCTCAGCCGGTCCTTCACCCACCCTGACCTTTAACACAGCAGATCGACCTCATCATCCTCTTGCTTCACACCGACAGGGGTCACCGCAAAGCTCCTTTAACCTCCACAGCTGCGTGAGTTCCTGCGGAGAATACTGCGGGGAAGACAGCATTCCTGGTTCACAGGTCTTCTCACAAAGCCACAGGCTGTCCTGTCGAAACACAAAATGCAAGCTGACCCCCTGCTGCAGACAGAACGGGTGTTCACGGGCGCTTCCAGAGCCCAGTAAGGTGGCGGTCATTTCAAAGACGAGCGTGTCTGTGGGGTGGGGAGCCTGAGACTGTGGGACCATAAACGCAGCCTCGTATCTGCTACTGGAGAAGAGCTGGCCAGACGGCCCTGGGGACAGACGCACGCGCTCTGGAGAGCCGCTCACGGTGTCTGGGGGCAGTGCAGTGCTCTCTGAGTATCATCCAGTCTAGTTCTCACGGTAACCCGCGAGCTAGCAACTAGCTTCTCACTCATAACAAGGAAATAAGAGTGAAGAAACTTGCTCCAGGTTACAGTGACGTTCATGCTGGTAGGCTGAGTAGGAAGGATTAAAATGGAGTCTTATCAGACCCCAGAGTCCAGGTTCTCACCCACCAGCCTACTTCCCAGCTACATGGACTGGCTTCTGCTTCCAGTAATACCGCAGAGTACAGATTCAATTCAAGAACATAAAAAGGTGGGACATAATAATCAGACTCCTTCCCACAGAGAGCTGAGGCCCTGATGGCTGAGCACCTCCAGGGGTAGTAAAGGAAATGGGAGGCCTTCTGTCTCCGCCCTGGCCCCAGGTGGGTCTCAGGGGAGACCCCACTTAGGTGGGCATACTGCAGAGTCACATTCTGTGGAGCTGTCTCACAGCCAGGATCTGAAGTCAGCCAATTCCTGTAAGTTTTAAAGCTGCAAAGAATTTAATGAAGTGTATAAAAATGTATAAACACTTTACTCTTTGTGCATAGGAGAACTTCTATTTAAAACATTTCCTTTTTGGTTTATGAGACCCTGGTCAGTGATAGTGAATTAAATCAAGTGCACAGTTATTATGACACTAGAAGACTTTCCATTCACACTTTCTGCCTAGGGTTGGATAAGAGAAACCGCACTCACCTCTTCTGAGCCCTGCGGCCAGCCCTGCTCAGGCTTGCTCACCTGGTATCTTTTAGGTCCTATGGCTGCCATCCAAATGCCCATGCTTACATCTTCACCCTACACATGCCCCAGAAGGTTCAGAAAGTAAAAATTTCAGTGCTGTCTGGTCAGTAAAGACAGTGTCACACCCACTCCCACACGTACTCTTTGTACTTCTTTGTTTTCTAATTACTCTTCGATGAAGTACTGCATGTTTTAACACTGATACACAAAGTAAAAGCTAGTGACCATTATTAACATGAAGCATACACACCACAATGAAGTGAGACTACATACTAAGCAGGCGGCCAGCCCCTCTTTGCATGGACCTTAAACTTCCAGCACCAACAGTAGGAAAGATACTGTGGATCTAAGACCCAGGCAGAGCTGTTTTATTGACACTGTCACCAGAATCAGCAAAAAATAAAAAGCTTATATTCATAAGAAGGAAGACTAAACAAGCTGAAGACTAAATCTTTACACTCCTCCAGGGACGATGCCTTTAAATATAGGCTGAAAACATAAGAAGTACATTCAAAGACGACAGGAGTAAAATTTACAGCCAAGGTTTAAGGGATAGAAGTGTATCCCTAACCTCTGAGGGCTGCTGATTCCTATACAGAAGGAATACCATACTTTCCCCAAGGGAAGCTGCTCTGCTTTTAGGGCTGAAATACTAGGTCGAGTTTAAAAAAAAAAAAAAAAAAAGAAACCTGCTTGATGTCTGTACTTTTAGGTCAGAAGTCCTGAATTACCTGGTAGGTCTTCAATCTCCCCGAGTTGCCAGCCAGCCAGTGGACGATGTCCCTGGAGATAACATACCCCGACCCACATGCAAAAGCGGGGTATGCGGGGCTGGGGTACTCCAGCTCCTGCCACTTCCCGGTCCGGTCAACTGCCCAGTTCAACCTGAAACTGAGACTCAAAGTAAGCCGGCTTGCGTTGTTCGGACACAGGCCCTGCCTACCACTGGTTAAGCCCGAGTCCTTAATTGATGCTACAAAGGAATAAGTTACAGAAGCAAAGAAAGGAAAAAGCTTATTTTTTAGCCTGAGGAATTAAGTATCTAGTGGTGTTTTTATAAAGAAGACTGGTATGTTAAATTCTCTCATGGAGTTTCTGAATCATCTAGAATAGATATATTAAAAAATAAATGAAAAATAAATTACCACTCCATATTTAGAGACACAGCAAATGGTTTCAGAAATGTATCATTCATTTAAGGAATAGCAGTTTCTAATTTCAGTAGTAGGGCATGGTGATAAAAAGTCACGTTAATTTCCCCCCTTCATTACATTAGCCTGAGGTTTTCCATTTAAAAGAGTTTTTTCCCCTTTAATTGTAAATTAACAAAACATAGTAACTCTGGAGCCTAACAAGGAAATTTCCTATCTCAACTACATTTTTTTCTTAACTACATGTGCTCAGTACATGAAACGAACATCAATGGGCTAACAATGTTTAACTTACTTTCCCCACCAAAAATTAGGCCCATCCAGATTCTTGAGGGCGATTCTATTAAACACAGCTTCCAAGTCTATATAACAGTCATCATCCGTCTTTAGCAACAAATCAAAGCTGGTTGTTTCCACAGTCCTGTTAGTGAAAAAAGGGATACGGCGTCAGGGTGCCCCTCCAATATCAAGAGCCTCTGCCCTAAGAGGAGACTGCTGCCAGCTACAGTCCTCACTTGGTGCTAGCAAAGTGGCTTAGCAGATGGGTACCGAGCCAATCTGCAAAGGCGTTAAGGAAAAAGAACACAGTGGGAAAAAGCTTTGGCTTAGATGGAGCTTCTTAGGCCTTGCGCAGGACAGGCCAGCATGTCTGTCAAACAGCAGGACTCTGCCCCTTGCATTCCTAACAAGAGGCCTGCATGAGCAGACAGGTGCCTTTCACAGAACACTGACACACAGGAGAATGTTCTTTGCTGCTATCTGTACCATACGCAGGTGTTTTATGGTGTTTAAAAAGCTGAGTCAAAACACTGAAATACATTGTCCCTTAGAAATGATCTTCAGTAATTCAGCCATCACAAATGACTTCTGGACGGCACAAAAGGGTGATTTCATTTATCCAGACGTTAAAAAGTATATAATGGCAACTACAGACAAAACTGACCCTTCAATTTCACACTGCCAACCCCTGTACCTCTTTGTTAAAAAACCCAGTCTTGATAAGTAAGAACCAGTAAAATGACAGAAATCTGAACTAAAGAAATCTGGAGAAAAAGTTTCATTAGGTCACAAAATGGTGAATTTTAACAACAGATCCACAACTGAAAGCATAACCCTATGTTTCTAAAGTTTTATTTTCAGTTAACAACAGAAGATATAGATACTATTTACTTGCTAATTGAAAATAAACTTCTGTGATGAAGGACACTGGGGTCACTGATGGAGCCCCTGGATAAAGATGAGTGAATAACAAAGATGTCATTTACGGTGTGGAGGGTAGTCTGGGGACTGACTGCTGGGAAGCAGGTCTGGATGCACAGCCTGTTAATAGGTCACTGCAGTGTCCTGGCAGACACGAAGGCCCAGAAGAGACAGTGGCAGAGAGACTAAGATCACAGAGAGATGCAAGCAGAAGAGACAAAACCTGAACTTACACAGTTGAGAATCGGCTCCCTATAGAAAGCCCTAGAACTCCGCAGTCCTGATCTCCACCTGGACCTCCATTACCCGTCCTCACCTGTTTATGTCCTTGCCTTGGCCCCACCAACAGAAGCCCCATCAGTGGCCTCGAGCTAA